TAGGGCCAGCTTTATTGATATATAAAATAAAAATAATGTACAGAAAAAAATACAAAGCAAATGTGTTATAAAACTTTGTGTATTTGATAAATTAAATAGAATAGTTTGTATCATTTATTATAATTATTAAAAAAATATATATTTATAAGTAAAATAAAAATAAGTATTCATTAGGTGGTTATTCATGTGGAGGTCAATAATTGAGTAACCTGTGTACCACACTTTAGTAGATTTGAAATTAAAGAAAAGAGCATGAAGGAAGGTATATAAACAAGAAACTTAGAATATATTCACTTGTTGTTAAAATATTTATAAACAAAAATAGATATAAACTTCACTTCAACTATTAATAATTGTCTGAAAGATGTAAATATGTAATTTGTTTATATCTGACAAGAGAATTACTGTTTTGGTAAGGTGGTCAGTTAACTAATAAAATCAAACTTATATATGGACCCTTAATAGATTACCATAGTACAGATTTTTAATAATTGTAATTGGCTAATTTATTGTAATATAAAAAAAAAAATTAAGCTATCGATATTGCTATATAAAAAATTTATTAAATTTCATTACCACATTTTGCTCACTAAAATCCATCTCTTCAACTTTATTTTTTTATTTTTTATTATTTTATCTAATACTAACAATTCCATTTTTAACATTCTTTTTAGAAAATTTTGTTTATAAAAGATGTAGCTTGGATTTTTTGAAATCTAATAACATATTATGATGGGTCTTAAGATCTAGTTTATTAAACATGCCCTCAACTTGTTGCTGATGTACAATTATATAATAAATTTTTGTAGTAATGAACTTATAAAGTAGAGAACAATTTGGTAATTTAGGATTTAATATATTGCAAAAATTATCAAATTGTTTATGAAAATTTGGATCTGAAAGATAGAGTAGTTTCAATTCAAAATCATTCGAATTGTGATCTTTTAGATTATTTTTAAGTTAGTGAATATATATTATCTCCTGTTTGGATAGCTCAAAAACTGTTGAAATATTTAAAATAATATATTAATAACTTTTAGCAAAAGGTTGTACATGACTTTTTTTTAAATAACAAACTGACAAAGGTAGTTTTAGCTATTAAGCTATCTATTTTTCAAAATGAACTAATGCTTTTTTTATTTCCTTTTCTAATGAACTAAATATTTCTTCAAACTTCATCTCATTTAACAATTCTAGTACTTTTAGTAATTCTTCTAAAAAAAAGATGTTAAAGTTATTTACTACATCTATTAAGAAATCTAACTATTTATGAACTTTATTTGACATTTTATATATGCATCATCCAGAAGGTAAGTTAACTCAATTTTCATCATCAAATATTTGTAGTACAGTATCTTGACTAACAAGAAACTTTATTAATTGACTAAAAAAATAATTATTAAATTTTACTAAACATTTTAATTGAATATTTAATTTTTTATTATTTAGCCAAGTATAAAAGAGACACCAATCATTTAAATAAGATATAGCTATATTAGAATAAGTTTTTAAGGTTTTAATGAACTATTCTGCAAATTGAAGATGTAACTCTTTTCTTTTTATATATTGCTTAGCTATATGTAACTCATACTCTCAGCAAGTTTGTAGTAGCATTTGATATTGTGAATAGTAATATCCAATAAGTGATTTATAAAGTTTTTGGATATATTTTGATTTGATATTCATAAAAGCATTATTATTCTTATTTCTATAACCATCATAAAGATACCAAGTAAGATGTAAAAGATTAAATAGATAAGATTTTCTTGAAAACTCTGATATCTATCTGAAGCCTTCATTTTCAAAATTAGTAAACATGATATTAATAATATGTAATGTGCATCCAATTCTGATTGAATTAGAATTTGTTAATCTATTAAATTTAACTATAGTGCTATTAGTATTTCTTGACATATATGCTATGTTATCAATAAGCATGTCATATATTTTTGTGTATTGAAATTATATTTTTGACAAATATTAATAACTAATTTTGTAATCATATCAGCATTACATCTTTTTATTACTTGCAAACTAACCATACTGTCTATAGAATAATTTTGTTTTTTGTCTCAATACATAAAACAAATGATTAGGTTTTTATCTTAATTATGAGTTAATTTATTGGCAGAAATACCAAAAGCACTTGTTTGTTGAGTATGTTTAGCAAAATTCAAAATAGCTAACTTAGAGACTTGCTTGTACCAAGTTGTAACACACTCTCTTGAAAGCCAACTTTTTGGTAGTTTGTCTGTTAAAAACTCATAGATTAATTTTGTATACTCAACAGTTGAATGTATTGAAACTTAGCCAACTTGTACTATTTTGATTGTTAGCCAAACCATATCTGAAAAATAGTGCTGATTATTTGATTTAAAAAGTTCTTTGACTTTTTTTTTAAATATATCTGAAGAAATTTTTTTAGATCTAAATATTAATAAACATATAGCTGATGTTTGATACAAAGTTTTGTATTTAAGGTGCTGATTTTGTGATTTGAATGTTTTGACTTTTGTAATTAAATTTGGTTTTTTTTAATTAATTTTTTATTTTGAAATTGAAGCTAATTACATTTTTTTTGCAATGCAGTATAGCTTGATTGTGGCTGATAAAGATAAGTTGAAATTACTTTAACTAATTGCTGTTATAAATATGGTAAAATAATTTACTCTTTATTCTTTCCTTTAGGGTATTTCATATTTTCTAGCAGCTTGATTGCATCTTTTTTTTCTTCATCATTTAAGCTTTGGATAAGTTTGATAAGATTATTTTTAGAATTTGTAAATGATTTTTGCTTTTAGCACTATATATAAGATCTAGAGCATTATTTAAATCTTTATTATTGAGGCATTCAAGAAAATCTATTACTCTTTTAATTTTTTTTGTTTTTTCATAATTGGCTATTAGTTGTATTATTTGACAATATTTTTTAAAATATGTTGACATCATAATTACTGATAGTGAATGAAATATTATTTCTGTTAACATTCATATTTGTTTTTATACTTTTTTTAATAATCATTAAAAAAAAAAAGACATTTGCCAATTTATTCACAATTAAGTAATAAATTTTCTGATTTCTTTATTGATCATATAATTATTTTTTTTTTTGATTTTACCTTCCTTCACTATTCTGAAGGTTCTTAGATATTTTTAGGATCTGTCACATTTCTTAAAGGCCAGAGTTATTATTCTGTAGAGATCATTGGATGGCAAGTGGCTTCTATATTTATCACCATGTTTGTGAGATAGCTTATACTTTGTTAAGTCCATTATATAATGTCCCAGGTTTCTGGTTCTGTGGTGTAGAATCTACTATTATTATTTGGTCTGCAGTTTCCTAACTTCACATGATCTACTAGCCAGATCATTCTTCTATTATTTATTTTTTTATATTACTTTAAGCTAAGAAACCTTATGTTAACAATGTTTTTTGTTGGATTATCTCTTTTCTGAATGCTGCATGACCTTTGTAGCTATGTCATATGACTTATTTATTGTTGCAATAATCTGTTTAAAAGCAGAAAGCTTCTTTTAAAAATTATTTCCAATTATAATCCTATTACAGCTTTTATCTTCCAGTTGGACTTGAACCAGCAACCTTGTGATTGTGACTCTCAGAGCACTAACCACTATGCTATCAACCTAGAAGTTCTGATTATATAATTAAAATATCACTGATTTTTATAACAATTAAAATACATACAATTAATTATGATAATTTAAAATTTGATATTTATTACAATAATTGATAAATTAAATTATAATTTTTTAAAATATTAAATTTAATGACAACTGCAAATTGCATACAATTATCTATTGATCAAAAAACTTCATGATAATTTATTTATCAAGTTCAATTATACATTTTAACTATATTAATCTATGACTAAAATTAATAAATTGTTACAAAATTAAATTTACTAAACTTGACCAAAAGAACTTAATAATCTTGTTTTAAGAATATAAATCTTGCTAAATTAGTTGTAGTGCAATTAGAGCTGAAAATTTGTTAGTTAATGATTGATATTACTGTTACAGTTATTGCAACATAATAGGACTGATATTAATTTTGTGATGGCAGAATGAAAAGTTAATCAAAATTTAAGAAAATAAGTGTAATTTTATAGGTCTTATTTATGTTTACAATATAACACCTTTTTACTTATGAATTTTTGAATATACATTGAAAAATTACAGGTTTACAACTTTTTCTATACAATTTTGCTACCTACTTTTTAATTTATTGCCCAAAATAAATATATTAACTGATAGATTACAACTAATAATTTAAACTCTCATGCCAAATTTAAAAACATTTGTGTGAAAAATAAATTTCAGAACTACCCTTACAAATCTAATAATATTTACAAATTATTAAAAAACAATGCTATATTTTAATACTGTCACAAAACCCACATGACAAATTAAATTGTGTATCTTTTTGGTCAGTTTTATTTTTTATTTCAAAAAATTATTTTAACAGGAAGAATTAAAATTTAAAAAATAATCACTTTCTTCTAATAATTTAATATTAAAAACCGATATCCATTTCATGTAACATAAAATAATTAAAAAAATCTGTACTATGTAAATCTATTAAAGGTCCACATATAGGTTTGATTTTATTAGTTGACTGACCACCCCACCATTTCGGCCATGTCGTAAAACTCATACAGGGGGATCCCCAAAATTCCGGGTCGGAATATACTTCATGCAGACAAATCTTATCGTTACTACTTATATTTCTGTATTTATCTATCGTGCGAAAAAATTAGATATATATGACAAATTCAAATTTATTTTTTAGCCTGAAACGGCTCCTTTGATATAAACATAAAATATACAAATGACTTGTCAAGTTTCAGCTTTGCCGGCTCTGCCAAAGAAATATAAAACTTTATTATGCTTAACTATTAAATCACATATATGACACGGTATCACGTAAGGAACAAGAATTTTCATTTTTTGGAACAATCCATATCAAAATTAAAGTTTGATCATTGTTTGTAGGAACCTAGCATGTTACAGATCTGCGGAGAGTCTGGAACACTACACATATATCGAATTTGTAGAGGCGGTGTGAATGGACCTCTTTGACGTTTATAATCTTTCACAAGTTCACATACACGTTTCTGTGAATTCAAATATTTATTATAAAATTTAAATAAAAATATATAAACAAAATATGACATACCTCTAAGGCCACAAAATGAGCAAAGTTTGATTCGATCAAAGGCAAACTGGGTTCATCAATTGCCAATTTTGTTGTGAGAAAAGGCCAAGACCGATATAGCCCATCAAATTGGAGGTCCATAAAATACGATTGTACAATATCACCTGTAATTTCCAACAAATGATTTAGTAAATAAAGATAACAATTTGACTGTTCTGTATAAAAAAACAAATCATAATTGAGGAGCATTGCTGTTTCTCCTGGAACACCTTTCGAGGTCAATTGCTGATTGATTGTCTTTCTTGCCTGTAAATGAACTTTTGAAAAATCCTTTTTCTTGTTTAAAGGATGGCTCTTCACTGGCTTAATTTCAGAATTTAATAAAGGTACATTATCCACGACACATGAAAGGTCAGGTCTTTGTTTTGTGCCCTTGATGGCGTGATTTAACTGCACTTCGTAATTATTGTTTTTCTTCAGAAAAATCGAACTTATGTAAGGATTCAGAAATATACAGCAATGTTCATCCTCGGAAGTCCTTTGCGGTGCAAGATCAGGTAAATTCTCTCGCCTAAATGTGTGTTAATAAATTTCATTAAGCAAGTTAATCATAACAAAAAATATATATTAACCTACAACTCATTGAAGGTTCGTGCGACTGCTCTGCTCAATGGAGTTTCGTCTGCATGCATATAACTGTCCCGACCTAACAAATGCTTGATCACGGTTTCATGTAAGGCAGTTGATACCGAAGATGGTATCACTGGCTCATGGATTGTATATTTGTTTGTTTGAGTTATTAACTGCCACTCTTCTTCAGTAAAATTTGGATAAGGACAGTTTCGGCTGAGCACAATTATGAATGAGAGTGCTCTAAAGTGCAATGTGAAATGATATTTATATGTGAGCACGCTTACAAGGTGAAAAGAAAGTGAACTTGATATTTGATTTATCTATCGATCACGATTATTATAGATGCTGTTGCTTACAAGGTTTCATATATATTATACCAGGTTAATCCAGTTGTCTTAAGTGTTTCAAGAACCTCTTGCTGATATTCATGGAATTTTCGTGTAACATTAATACCATGCACTTTCTACTGATTCACAAAAACAATAGTAAAAAATGTGGCAAAACAATTGCAAAACAATAATAATCAAAAATTAATCAAATACTTCATTTATTGGTTCTTGTTGCAAACTCTTAACAACTGAATCGAAATCAAATTCAAGGCTTTCATCATCTTCTAACATATCTTCATGGTCATCTACTATTTCGATCCCATCTGCATGGTTATCTGTTGTTTCGAGCTTGTTATTATAATTATCCAGTGTTTCGATCTCATCAACATTGTCATCCGCTATTGTGACTTTTGACCATTTTTGGTTTTGCTTAGTCTGATCATTTTAATAATTAAATTTGTAATTCATTTGGAACAAATCATAAAACAATTGATTCTAACTAAAATGCACATTGGTACCTCTTTTTGATGCTCTTGACTTCTTTTTGTTGAATCTATCCTTGCATTGAAAGCTCCAACTATTGAATCAACTATAGAATTGCCACTGATTGTTACTTTAGAATGGTTAAGGCGAACCGAAAGCCCAGGCTTATGCATCATTTCCCATTGCCTTGCCATTTTATAATCGGGTTGGGTACCCTAGCACGAAATATTTGAGGGCTTAATAATATTCTTGACTAATAATCAAATCTCACATTTGGTTTCCCATCCTATCCGAGCATCAGCCAAACTTAAAGATTGCCTGTGCCCTAATAGGTCCAGTGTTGGCTCGACTTAAGGACTTAAGCATCATGCAAACTTAAAGATCACCTGTGCTGGCTCGACTTAAAGACTTGAAACGTCAGGCAAACTTAAAGATCACCTGTGTCCCAACACTGGTTTTGTGGCTCGACTTTAAGACTTGAATGACAGAGAAACTTAAAGATTCCTGCACGCCACTTACTCCCAACCTACATTTCCAATAAAAAAGCTTTTATTTGCCTTTTTATAATTATCATAGAGAAGCTGTGCTTTGTCACGCCTCGCCCCTTGTTCATGGTTAATAATGTTCTTGAGATTTTTTAAATAGACACCGATCTTCAGTTGGAACGATTCTTCGTCACTTTCATTTAGAAATCCTATAATACTCCATTCACTATGCCTTCGATTAAAATATTCATGTGTATGCATGATATTGTGAAGCACAACTATAAAATTCCGAATAGTAAAAATCTTAAATTTTGGAGATTTATCATTATATTTTGTTTTTGATCCTCGATATAGAGTATTCACATAGTCACGTATCAGGATTTTGTACAACTTGAAATGGTATTTGTTCACATGGATTAAAGCCTCTTGAGCATAACGAGAATGCTCGCATTTAGCGAAGTTAACTTTGCTAATACATTATAGGTTTATTTATTATTTTTATTTCATAACTAGAGTTTCCACAAAGTAAAGTAGCATAGCTAATTACTGGCCTTGGTTAGGCAATTTCTGTCTCACAATAAGTTATGCATAATGATAAGGTGATACAGATAAGTATTATATGCGGAATTATAAATGTGGATAAATTATAATTATTCAGATTTACATATTTTTTATTTAGTGTTAATTATTCGAGAATTATCACATTCGCATCGCTTATATATTCCATTCACTACTTTTTTGTATGTTTTGCAATACAGGTGTAAATGGTGATTGCATTCATCACAGACCTTACATCCGTAATTCCACCCTCTAAAGATCTGCCACTTTTCGAAGTAATTTTGTTTATCTTTACGAATGAGTATGTTATTCGAATATTTTTTCATTGTTATACATTAACAGAAAAAATATAACGTGGTCAATAATATATGGCAATTGCGCCCTCACCCACAAATAATTTATGCATAAGCCGAGATTATTTATACATAGAGAATTTTTTTATATACCAATATAAATATTTTTGTACCATATAACTAATTTTATTTTTTATATAGAACACAAAACTTTTCTTTATGTACATGGACTGAAAATTATTACATTAAATTTAATATATGGCGCTGTAATCACGTGAGTGTGACCTTCGAGGTCATGTTTGCGTGACTTCTACGATTAATTCTGTTGGGGTTTATCAGGAATTTGAGATATTACATAGTTAATTTGATCAACGGTTAATTTAGTAATTGTTAATGCACTAAAAGATTCTACTCGTTTTATCTTATCTGTTTCTACCTTACTAAATAGGTGAAAAATCTTTTGGGCTATTCTTTTCTTTTTCAAATAGTAGTTTTAGAGTATCATTGAGAAGTTGTTTTTCAATTTCTTTGTTTACATCACTATTAGCATCATTTACATTATAAGATTTTTTATAATAAAACTTAAAGTGTTTTGTTATGATCATTCTAAAGTTATAGTATTAAAAAATTACTTTTTTAACTTTGTTTTTGATTTTTACTTTCAGTAAAAATAATTTTAGTATATAAATTTAGAAAATCGATAGGTTGTGAGTTATTTTCAATAACTATTACTTGATAAAAAATTATTTTATTTTATTTAGAGATGTTAGATTTTAATTCTATAATAAGTTTTTTTACAATATTAGAATCTTTTTTGTTGTTTTTTTCCTTATTCTGTTTTAATTTTTTACTAAATAGTTTATTTTTAGTAATATTTTCATTAGGTCTTTTTTGATCCTACTTCATATTGTCTAAATAAAATAAGGAGTAAGATTAAAAATCCATGTTGTATCTAAGATTATTATATTCTGACTCTGTTTAGATGACATTTCTGATGAAATTTGTATTGGGATTGGAGTACTTTATATTTGATTTTCTTGCAAACTAGATTCAAAATAATTAATTAGTTTAACTTTTATTGCATACTTAGAGCATTGTGAAAGATCTTTTATATAGTCCTCAAAACAACTATAGTGGAATATATGGGCATAAGTAAGTATCATAAATAATTTTTTAATTTTATATAAAAAAAATTCTTTATTATACTTTGAGCATAAATCTAGTTTTAAAACTTCAACACTTTTGCAATGACCTCTAAGATGTTATTCTTAAGAATATTTAAAGCAAGGTTTTTGAGACATAAAATATTTTGAAATATTGAATTAATAATCATATTCAAAGATAAAATTTTTTATAATTAAAAAAGTTGATATATGGTATTAAGAATTATAAACAGATAAGTATTAAAATTAATTATTTGCTTATTTTTATATATTTAATGTTTTAAAGACTAACAAACTTAACTTCAGATTTTATGAAAACTAATTTTGGATTTGACAATCTGTTTATTTACAAATTAATTAGTATAAATATGGATTACTCGATCTATTAACAATAATGATGATTTACAAATTAGTAATTTTTTAACCAAATGAATAAAGCAATAATAATTCTATTTGAATAAAAAACTAGACTTACTTGATCTATTATTAATTTTCAAGTTTATTGGCATTTTGATAATATCATTTTTGAGCATATTTTATTAATATTTTATCTAGTTGATAAAGTCATTTTCTCATTGTATACTAAATTATTTTAGTCAAATTTATTTGTTTTTTCTATAAATGATATACTTGTTAGATAATAATTACTAATCGATTTATTTATTTTTTCTATAAAAGATATGCTTGTTAGATAATAATTGCTGATCAAATTTTTATAAACAAAATTAGAAAATATGTTACTTAGGTTTTAAATTAGCTAAATTCAGAGTTATTGACTATAGATTCATTTTTGATTAAATTATTTTTAATATAAAATACAAAGTTTTTTTAATAAATCTTTCTATTAATATTATATCCTAGTATTAATAAACATTTTTGTATATATTTGAGTAGATGATACTTTACAAATTATAACTATACTTCTAATGTTTTTAGATTATTAATATAGTTTAAATTATATTTAGTTAATATGTATTGGATATAATTATTTTTTTCCTATTTCTCAAAAATATCTTGAATATTAGATATGTTTAATATATGAATTTTATTAGCTAAGGCTTTTATTTAATAAGTATGAACCAATAACTAATTGATCTAGTGAATGATTAGTAAAGAAAAGAAGAAGTATACACTTCATAAATTTTTATTTTATATCAATACCATTATTTTATAAGAAAAATATATTAATAAAAAATATATTTCTTAATTGTAATCTTAAGAATAGCATTAGAAAAATAGTAAACAACTACTCATTTTTTGCTATTTTCACTATTTGAGTTAGTCAATGAATATAAGACTTATCATTGAATATAAGCTTTGAATATCAGCTATTATATCTTTTTTAATCTGCAAACAATTACTAATTTCTATCATTTCCAGATTAGGAGCCAGTTTTGGAATTTTTGTAATTGTTTTTGGGCTTAAGCATCTGAAACCTCTTATTGCAAATAATTTTAAATTGGAACACTTGACTAAAAATACTTCTAAATTTTTATAGTTAATTATATATAACTCACAATTTTTAAAACTTAGCTGTTGTAAATTTGCAAATGCCTTATACACTTCAGAAATGTATACATCTAGTCCTATATTTATTGTTTCAATAAATTTCAGAGATAATACTTATTTACATAATTTTGACTTTGTATTTTTACTTAATGCATTTGTAAACTTGACTCCAGAGATACCTGTTAAAGTTATTTTATACCATATTAGTCTACTAGTATTGTAATATTATTGCTTATTAACCAATAAAAGTTTATTTATTTTTTCTCTATTCATACTGTAATATTGGAAAATTCTTTCAAATATTTTATTTGGTATTGCAGTTATATAACAAATAGTTAATTCTTTTAACTTCATAGATGTAGTTAGGATTATTTCTTCAAAATTAGTCTACTCTAGTTGCATTGCATTCTTTATTGAGACATTATTTGCATTAATTATTTTTAACTCTCCTGCTTGTTTTCCAATCACCTGATCACTAATTTTACCTAAGAGAATAAACCCATCTATATAGACATACTTTATATGATTACCTAGTGATCTGATTTTTTCTAATACTGTTTTGCATCCCTTTGCTGAAATAAAAAGTGTCATGTATTGATGAGGATCTAGTCTTCATTCATTTGAATATAATCATCTTTAGAGTAATACTAGCATATGCTTGGCAACTGTATCTGCCTATCCACCTTTATGCTTGATTTCTGTAAGATAACTTGCCTATTGATAGAAAATTTCATCTCTGTGCATAAGCTAATTTAGCTCAAATATTAAAGCATTAGGACTTTTAGAAGATAATTCTATGTGAAGACCTAGATCTATTGCTATTTGTATGTCATAGTGAGTGTAATATCCTACAGGATTATAACAAAAACTTCTTGTACATTTTTGACCTACTGGCTGCCCTTCTATAAAAACTGATAAATTCTGTATTTTAAATTAAAGTTGATAGAATTAACACTAAGTGTATAAATGTTTTAAATTCTTCTGAACCTATTGGCTAGCATGTACTCCTATAAGCTAAGATATATGGATAATATTCATTGAATTCTAACTTAGTTGCAATTTTTTTATATGGCTTAGCCTATATTAAACTTTCTATATATGTAGATCTTATTTACTAGTCTTCCTCTAATGATAAGTCTTCAGCTTTTCTAAAACATCTAGCTATATCTTAAAAGAAGCACAAACTTGCTATTGCATATATACCAGTTTTTCTTAAGTCTATTTGCCCATTACTTTGCCAAAAGATTGTATTGGCTTTATTATTATAATGAATATGAGTCTCTTAAAGTGTTTCATTCAAATTAGCTTTGATTATGAACTAGTTTTATGATAAATCACAAAAGTTATTTTTGGAACCAATCTATTGTGTAAACCTATCATAGAACTCAATATGCAAATTCTGTTTTTTCCAAAATAAAAATCTTCGAATAGCTGAATATCATCTTGTATTAGTATTTTAATAAGCTAAAGCAGTCTCATAGTTGCTTTTTCCCTTTTCTGACCCTTTTTTTGGTTCTGATAGCTTGAAAAGTTCAGGTAACTCAGATGGCATTAAGTCTCTCCAGCTTGGTAAAAGATTTTCAAACAATTATTCTAATATACTGATGATAGTACTAAGTATTCCATTCATGTTTTCCTAAAGATTATATATAATTACAAAAAAGTTTAAAATAAAAATTAATTTATTCGGATAATTATAGTTATATATTTATTTAAAAAACAAACTAATATAAGATTTTATAAATGTTCCTGTTATTAAAAGTATTATCTGTATAAGCTTGAACTTTGTAGAAGTTAATATTTAAATTAAAGAATTTGATAATATTTAGAAGTGTATGCCATAAAGGCCATGCATTGAATTTAAAGAAATATATTCTTAGGTTCAGAAAAGTATGCAATGAGAAGTACTATCAAGAAGAAAGGTGTAAAGTTTATTAAAAATCTTCTAATGAGTTTCTTATATAGAATGCAAAAAATTAATTTTCTCTATTTATAGTTCTTGTAGAAAATATGCAAGTAAATATCGCATTTAAGATTTTTATCAGCATCAAAAGCTTGCAAAAATTTAGACAAATGATAGTTTAGTAATAGACAAGTGCCAGAGATGATTTTAGAACCAAAATGTATACATTTATATTACATTATTTTTTATCTTGAGGTAAAAATTATAATTCTATTTTCTTATAATATTAGCATTCATTATATTCTTTTTAGTTTGTTTATATATGCTTTGTTTCACTTTATACAAAAGCTTTGCTTCACTTCACCTATAGTAAACCATATATTGCATTCATTATATGCTTTATAGTTTGTTTATATATGCTTTGCTTCACACAAAGGCTTTACTTTGCTCTGCCTATAGTAAATCTTGTCTTGCATTCATAATTGCTTTTGAATATGCCTTATTTATTAGCATACACTAGAATAGTATTATATAGGTTGAAAAAATATAGCATTCACATTCACTTCACCCTAAAGGGCTTGTTTATGTTCCTGCTATATTTTTTCTTCCAAGAGCATCCACATTATCCTAAAAGATTTATGCTTCTGCCTCTTCTTCAGCTACCTATATGGTATGCTATTGGAAGATGATTTTTTAATATCTAGAGCAACCTTCTGGATTCATTTGAAGATCAAGAGCTTTTTGTATTAAAAGCTTATTTTTCTACTATTTTACTTTTATTATCTGATGTATCAAAAATATAATAATATTACAGATGATATTTAGTTGATTATTTTAATTTTAAATTATTTTTAAATATAAGACTGAAATTTTCTAATATAATAGAATATAAAAAGATATTCTACTAATTATATAAATTTATTTGATCTATATTGTTCATACTAATATTTTAATAATAATTATAAATATATAATAATAAAATATTAAAAGCAATAATAACTTAATATATGCATATCAATATAATGATAATTATATATATAAACTCTCTTTACTGATTCTTAATTTCTAAATAAAACCAAACAAACATAAAAGAAAAACACAAAAACAGTCTAATAAACCTTATTTTAAACTCTAAGAAAAAAGACTCAGTATACAAAATACAATTATTTTATTTTAACAACAGTATAAGTAAAGTTCTATTAAACAAAAGTTCTTGCTAATTTTTTAAATTTTAAAATTTTTTTTTGAAAAAACTAGAAAATAGCACTAGACTCTGAAAAAAAAACTGGAACATGTAACTAGTCATCAGCACAAACAAAACAATACATCATATTATACTAAACAACAAATAAGTGACAAAAAAGAAAAACCTGTAAAGTATTACACTTATTATATGAAATGATTTACAGATTTTTTCTTTTTGTTACTCAAATAGTAACAATAAATAGCTTTATTAGAAAATAACAGGTAAGTATAGTATGTAGAATAAGCAAATAGAGGAACAACAGAATAGTCTAGAAATAGAAGTACAAACTAGATTAGGACTACTATGCAGTACAAATCAAATTCAATATATTAAGGGTTTTGGTAATAAAAATAAAAGATATATAAATAGTAAAATATTAAATGTAGTCTTAGCAAAACCTATAAGAAATCCTAATAATCTAAAGTATATAACAAGAGATCTGGTGATTTATGATCTAAAAACATTATACCAAATGATTTACTTTTGTATAATCAAATACTAGAGGTATTCAAAATAGCAGAAGTATGTACAGTTTCATATAATACTATAGAAGAATAGGCAAAAAAACTCACATCTATAGATATAATTTCTGGATTATTCAGATATTAAATAAACACAAATAAAAGAGAAACATTAAGAAAAGTAACAAAGCTAAAAGAAATAAAAGTGGCAAACAAGATCAATCAAATAGAAATGCTTGTATATATAGAAAAAAATACTAAGAATATAAAAATAAAAGAGAAAAAACAAATCAAGATTTAAAAGGATTATAAAACAAATAAAAAACTAAGCATCTCAACTACAAATCAATATAATCTTAAAGACTCTGAAAACATGACTACAAAAAAACTGCCAATAGAAACAATGAGATGTGAAGGTAGTAATTAGAAGAAAGAAAATAAAAAAGACCAAAAAAAGTCAATAGATGACAGAATATACAATCTTAAAAAAGACATCAAGAATATAAATAAAAGAATAGCAAAACTAAAAGCAGAAAAAGAAAAGCAAGAAACTTTAGAATTGACAGATACAATAAAGCAAAGTTAGTGGTCACCAAAAAACTGTATATATGATGAAAGTAAATTCTTTAAAGCAAATATGCCAATATATATAGTGCCAGGTAAAAACAAAAAAAAGAAATTAAATACATGCAGTGGATTTTTCGAAAAAATTCTTATATTAAATTAATTCAAGAACTTTTTTTAAAAAAAAATAGTTGAATAGAAGTGGACTTCAACTGTGAATTTAGCAGAGATGCAGCAATAGAGAGAATTAAAGAAAAAGAAGGTAAATAGCTTAAAATCATCTCATAAGAACCTAAAAACTAAGAAAAGAAGCAGAAGCAATAAGTACCAAGAAGCAAGAAAAAAAAAGTAAAAGAACCCAAAAATGTTATTAGACAAAGAAAAGAATGAAACAATGAAAACAGCCATGCAACAGAAGATGGGATAGAAGCAGAGTCATATTTAACAATATGGGATTTACCAGTCAATATTAATGCAGAAAAAATAAACTATATATGCAGAAGCATTAAAGGAGCTTATATAAAATACATCAAAAGATCTAAATATATAGCATTAGCAGTAATTAAAGCAAGAAAAATAGAAGAAAGAAATATTCCATGGTTGCTGCCAATAGAAACACACAAACTTGCAAGAATAACAATAGAAAAAGAAAACTATAATTAGCATAATATACAAAATCAATTTACAATCTAATTAGTAGAGTTTTTAGAAAACATATCAGAAGTATTGTTATTATAATGCTTAAAGAAAAAAGATGTAAAATCAGTATATATACCATCTAATATAAATGGAAATCAAAGAAGGTCAGCTACAATTACATTCGCATTAGCAAAGAAAATAGAAACAGCACAAACAAAACTGATATGATTTAATAATACTTACTCTTTTGACAAGATCACAAAAAAGGAAATGAGAAATACAAATACAAGAGTATAGAAGAAAAATATATTAATGAGAATGATACTAGTAAAAAGTCAGATATAAAAGCTAATAAAAATGTTAATTATGATGAAAGATAAAAGAAAAATAACAAACACTGCAACAATCACAAGAAAAACCAAAGTGAAAATAAAGAGACACAATTGCAAATACATAGCCTTTTTTAAAAAATATTATAAAGATTAGAAAGATTAAAAATACAACAAAGTCAGACAGCTCTGGCTAATTACTCCTAAGGGCATACCAGTTGAATTAATAAATTTAGATGAAGAGATTAGAGATTTTCTGCAAGGTGAACAAAGAGTTTTTAAAGAGTAAAAAAAAGAAATATCTTCTAGTCTAAAAGGAAAAAAAAGCAAAAAAATAAAGAAAGATAGAGAATGAACAACAATACAGAAAAAGTTAAAAGGAAAGTAGAAGAAAGAAAAGAAAGAAATCAAAGTAGCATGTCACAATGTTAATAAACTAAAAACCAAAGGTTGAAAGTTAGAGAACATGCTTGGTTAGACAGAAGAAGAGGAAATCACAATATTGAGAATTACCAAAACAAACTTAATGAAAAGAAAAAAAAAATTTTTAACAAATACAACAAAAAATATATAGAGTTTTAAGCAAGTGCAGCAAAAAATAAAAAAAAAGGTTCAGGTATTGGAATTATAGTTAATGAACAATGAAAGAAGCATGTAAGTGCAGTCAAGAAAATAAATGAATATATGGGGTCTTTGCCTTGAAAATCAAGTTTGGATCATATGATTTACTATGTTCCGTAAGGTCATTTTCAAGGCAAAGACCCCATATGATAAAGATT